AGAAGGAGGAGGCAGCAGCGGAGGCAGCAGCCCGGAGGAGGCAGAGAAGCCGAAGCGACAGCCTCGGAGGCGGCCCCTCACCCAGACGCCCAAGCTGATTGGCGAACTGCGGAGGGCTGGGCGGAAACGGAAAAGACCAAGGGCCAATGGACGGAGAGCGCCGGCGGCTCCCCCGGTTGTTTGGGAAGGCGAGCAGCTGGAGGAAGCGGGGCTTGCGGGCGGAGGGGGCTGAGGCGGTGGGAGGGCCAGGCCGGAGTGCTCCTCTCCGCTCCCCGACCAGCCGCGGATTCTGTGCGCAGGCGCAGTGATGTGGCCTCGGGAGAAGAGCTGTGGGCGTCGCGCCTGCGCGTCTGAGAGTGCTTAGTTTGGGCTTTATTTACCACCCTGGTTTCTCGCGTCTTCCAACGTGTACACCCCGTATCCTTTATAATCGGGTGTGACGCGGCCCAGGGTCCTCCACCTGAACCCCCGCTACACCTTGTCACATCACATATAGGTTCCCTTTAGCTACATGCTCTTTGAGATGACTTCACACTTTGAGGGCCTCAAGCACACATGCTTTCATAGGCTCAAGGGGAGGTCTGGCTACCAAATGCTGATTTAATTCACTGACTGACAGTGGTATAATGCCTGTAGTGCTGCTGCTGCTGCTGCTGCTGCTGCTGGGCACAGGACGCAGAAAATAGGGAAAGAAGAGGACAAAGGAAAGCCATAGAAGATGCAGGAGGACAGAGAAGAAAAGATGGAAACCTCCACCGTGTTATAAGCCGCCTGCCCTGATCTTACTTGCATCAGTACTCTGAGTGCTTTTAGGCTCAGGTGACTACTACCCTTAAATATGGAGGCCTAGTCTATGAGGAGTGTACCTAAGTGAATGTGGCAACAAGTTCGTCCTCCCCCACTTCTTGTTTTCTTTCTCTTGAAAAGCTTTTGCGGGAACGTGATTGTTGATTTCTGTCCCAGAAATGTGGAATCCTGCTGTCCAGAGAGAGGTAGACTGTATTAGCTCCTGAAGTGGTACCCGGGCTGCTGGAGTGTCAGAGATTCAGTAGTTTTAGAGCCCCTGAAGCTTTGTGTTAAACTATGGACTATCTCCATATTGCGGTTGTTGGTTACATGACATTGCATGGAAATTGTTGCAATGAGGGTTTTTAGATAAATGATTTATAAATATGAATAAAGTTTGCATTGTGTAACTGTTTCATATGCTATCTTCTGAATAATGAAAACCTTGAAGAGGAAAATGCACAATGTCTAGGACACAGGAGGAGGGAGGGGAAGAGGTGAAGAGAGAAGACTGGTGAACTTTGAAGACAGGAGAGTGTTCCTACTTGCACAGTGAAGAGACAGATCAAAATAAACTTCAAAAGAACTAAGTATAATTATAAAGAGAAACTACATAGACGTGCCTAATAAATTGAGAATATGGTGGTCTCACCTGGAGGAATTTCATTTGAGAAATTTGAGAATTTAAATGACCTCTTTTGCCTCTTTCTGTATTTTAATATATATAGAAGGCAAATAAAGGTGCAATTAAATTTAATTTGTGCCGATCTATACTTTTTTTAAAAAAACTTTCTTCTATATTATCAGAAATGAATTTTTAACTCCTCTTTTAAAGTGAAGATATTCACTGAAGGAAATTTGGAAAATACAGAAAGCAGTAAAAAAAATAAAGTAAAATAAGTTACATGGAAACCCACCATTGAGAGATAACTGTTAAGATTTTTTTCTTCGCTTATATATACTAATTTAATGTGGGACATTTCTTGATGGCTATGTGGTAATCTATTGTATGAATAGCCTACCATTTCATTAGCCAGTCCCCAGTTATTGTATATTTATGTTGTCTCCAGTTTTTCTGTATTACAAGTAATGCTGTGACAAATACCTTTGTACACATATGTCTGTCCATTTCTTTAATTATACATTTCATTAGGTTAAATGCCCAAAAGTTAAATCTCTGACTGAAAGGGTCAAACATGCTAAGTTTTTGATATATGCAAACTACCTTTTCTCAAAGATATTAGCAGTTTATGCCACCTTCAGCAGTACATGTGGATGTTTATTTCATGCACCATTACCAAATATAGATATTACACTTTATAAAGTCATTAATTAGATTTTTAAAGATCTCTATTTGCAAGAAATATCTGGGAATTTCCTGCTTTTTTTGTGTGTTTGTTTCTTAACTAGCTATTTTGGTTGGTTTAAAATTTAACTTAAAATATTAATATAAGAACAAATAAAAGGAACTTAAAGACCATCTGGTGATGATTTTTCAAGAAAATCAAAGCATTCTACATTTTAAATTTGTTTTTTGACTTCCTGGTTTCTTGAGAAGCAACTCAAGAAATATCAATTGGACAATCCAATTTTAATCTAAATTTTAAAGAATTAAAATGGGACATAGGTCAACATGTCCTGAGAAACACTAATACTAAGTTTTCTTAGGAGGAAGCTAGCAACTGGTCAGACCACAGCATAAAAGGGAGTTTATAACTACTTTCCTCCAGTGTGACTAGTAATATTGGCAAAAGCTTTCTGTCTGTTAAAGTTTCAGAGGAATTGTAATCAAGTTTTCCACTTAAGAGAAACAACTGTCCAAATTACTGGTAAAAGGGAATCACTGAAGGAAGTAGGTTTGGTGCCATATTCAATGAGCATATCTTATGCCTGAGAAATATCAGCAACTTTACCACATATGGTGACAGATTTTTATTTACTATAAATATTTTGTTTTTTTAAAAATTCTCTCATTATTTTAATGTCTGATAGGGAAAGTGGATCCTGGAATAAAACACTATTCGTTAAGCAGGACAAACCAGTCTGGGAAGAAGAGGCATTTCTAATGACTGTTCTAAACCCCTGATAACTAAATTTCTCATCTTTCTTCTTTGTATTATCTGACCAGCTTTTGCACCTACTCCATCATACATATTTGGTGTGTCATAGTAAGCTTCTTGTGTCAGTATAGGGGGAAAAAAATGTCTTTGGTGAGAAAATCCCTTGTTGTCTCTGCTTACAGTTATATTCTTTGTGAACAAAATCCTACAGACAACATGAGTCAACGTACTACAATAATAATATATGTTTTATTCTCAGTGGAATCCAAAAACTATTAATTGGTGATGAAAAGTCAACTTTTAAAGTTAATATCAAAATCTGGGATGTGATACTAATTAATCAACAGGTTATGGATGTACTTTGTAAAAGTGTTGTGCATTTCAGTCTGCCTTTGCTGAGCATTCCTGAAGAGAGAAGACTACATAATAGAAACTGAGGTTCTTTGAATTATCTAAAGCATTAATTATTTATTTTTATTATTCACTGATATTTGGTATTATCTACATTGCTTTGTCCTTTATAATCAAAATCCTAAAAACAATTGTTTTAATGTAGTAGAAATATTAATATTAAACTCATATTTATAAACATTACAAAATATTAAATTTATGTTATAAAACAATGGTGTACATAAATAGTACAAAAACACTTCATTAACATTATTGAAGATACAGCTGTAGTCCAAACTAGACAAATTTTTGGTCCATGACTATTTAGAAATAGAATTTTTAGAAATTCAGTTAAAATGAGAACTGAAAAAGAAAAATCTATATTATTTTGAAAATATTTTCCTATTATTTTTATATTCCTACCCATAAATATAAAATATCCATAAAGTTTAAATACTTTGTCATACTAATTAAAATTTTAAAAAGTAGCCGTAGCATTAATTGAGTGCATTACAGAGAAATTGTGAAAAAAAACCTTTTGCATTTCATGTTTTGTGTCAAATCATAGTAACCATTTTCTGGAAAATGTATTCAATGTTTTGATAGAAACAAACATAGTAGAAAGCTAATAAGAAAAGAAATATTTTTAGTTATGAATTTTATCTAGTATAGCAGATTACAACTTTAAATTCTTCTATTTGTTTAAAAAAGGATTATTTTTTAAAATGTATGTTTTTAACTACTTTCCAGTGTCTTCTTGCAAGTCTTAATAAATCTGCCAACATGAAAAATATTTAAAATAACACACAGATGAACTGTCATTCCAGAGTTAATATGCAGAATAGTGTTAAGACTACTATTAACTACAGCAAGGGACAACTATTAAGTAATGCCTAATTCCAAACACAACTATAAAAATCATAATATGCTTGTGGTATATTAATAATTAAAATATATTTAATCATAACAGAGCTAATGTAGAAATATATTTACATAAAAAATTGAAGTATTCTTCTGGTTGATAGTTTTAAGTACCTATAATGAAGTGCAGGGCTGAGATTTTCTGTGTTCTGATTTCATCCTTGCATGAACCACCAGAGCCAAGTATTTGATTTCTCTGAGCCTTGTTTTTCCTCTGTCAAATGTAAAATGAAGAAGTTGGGGTTAACTGGTGTTTTCCTTTTTTTTTTCTTAAACCATGACTCAAGTAGAAATGCATTTTACTTTGAGAATCAGGACATTTAGACATATACATATATAAATATATACACATATATAATGAGGACAAAAGTTTCACCAAATGATAATTAACTTCACTGAGTGTAATTTATGGTGATATTTTCAATTCTATTTTAGTTGCTCAAACTAGAGAGCACACTACATTGATGTTATGATCTTCTAATGAATCATGGCCTAAAATTTGGAAAATATTGGCAATTTGAAAGATCTCTTTCAGTCCTTAAACCACAGTAATTCTGTGACTCACACTAATTTTGAGAGAACTTTGTGAGATGTACCTTGCTGTGCTGAGGCTACTCGATTCCTTTTGAACGTCATTTTTATGTTTGGGAAATTTTTTACACTCTAAATGCAGGCTCACATAAGTGACCTAGACTCTGTTAATCGTATTCTCTTAGTGAAGTATCTATTGAAAGAGAGCAAAATGATAAGCAGAATCTATAGGGACTCTTTTGGTCTGTTGAGGGACAGTGGAAGTGTGGGTCTTTAAGGATCACTGTGAC